AGGTGTATACCCACGAAAGAAAAGACACTAGCCAACACACTGGACGAGTGAATGAAGACTGAAATTTAAAAGTTAGGCCATCGGGAATGACAAAAAGTAGCCAGTTTACACTCTTGGAGGAGGGAGAGCCAGGCGCAAAGGGCGACCATGGCAGTCAATCAGTGGCAATAAGGGCCACTACCACCACCGTTCAAAGCCGGAGGCAATAGGGCCACACCAAAATGCATTGACGGCCTCAATCTCTGACGCAGGTGCCTAGTCAGCTCCATACCTGTCAGGAACCAAGGGCTGTCACTGCAAGGTGTGGTGTGGGGTGTGTAGCTGGATAGACTGTCACCACCACCCCCTGGACCAAAGTCTCGCGGCGTGCCAAGTCATCTGGAAGACTTAAAGGGCGGTGCAAAGACTTAGAGGGCAAAGTCGAAGACTTAAAGGCCCCCATGTCCTTTTCACGCATCGACTTTGCGCGGAGGACTTTTCATGCATCGACTTAAAACATTTCGAAAGCATGGATGAAAACATGTCACCCGAAATGACGTCATCGCGTGACTCTGCCCGATCATTGCCCGGTCACGTGATGACGTCATCAGCGAATGACGGAAGTTGGATTCTGAATTTTTAAAGCGTGGGTGAAATCCAATCCGGTCAAGAGTCCGAGACATAGGGGACCACCAATCTTGCCAAGAGTACAAGACTTAGGGGCCAATCCGTCGAAGATTTAAGGGCCGATGCAGCTTTTTTGTTGTTGTTGTTGTTGAAAATCGCGAAACGCGAAATCGCGACCATGGCCCTGGAGTCGGGACGCATGGCAACAACAGCGGCACTCCAGGGCCAGTTGGCCAAGGAGGAGGAGACGAAGCACCAGATGGTGTCGCTCAAGAGGGGAGTGAAGCATCAGATGGTGTCGCTCAAGAGGGGAGTGAAGCACCAGTTGGTGTCGCTCAAGATGGGAGACGAAGCACCAGTTGGTGTCGTGGAGATTGGGTGGGAGCACCAGTCGGTGACTCGCCGTTGGGGCTAGCGAAGCACCAGGCGGTGAACGCATCATAGCAGTGTGGCTAGCAGAAACACCAGGTGGTGAACGCATCAAGGCCGAAGAGAGCCAGTTGGCGATCTCTCATGGTGGGAGCACCAGTCGGTGACTCGCCGTTGGGGCTAGCGAAACACCAGGCGGTGAACGCATCATAGCAGTGGGGCTAGCAGAAGCACCAGGTGGTGAACGCATCAAGGCCAGAGGAGAAAGGATCGACCGGTGGCAACGATCGGTCATCGTGAAAATCACGAAAAGCACACGAACAAACCAAACGAACAATTGATCGATCGATCGACACAGGAGCAAGGCTCCACCGCCGACGGCAGTAGCCGTAGCTAGTAGCCGTAGTCGTATGGTAGCCAGTGCTGGCTAGTAGCCGTTCGTTCGAACGAACGAAAAAGGACACCATCATCGGCCGAAGAGCACAACAGCAACAAAAAAACCGGCCGATCGATCGAACGATCGAACGATCGAACGAACGAACCGCGGCTCCAGTCAAAGCACACGGACGATAGCTGTAACCGGCTAGTAGAAGCCATAGTAGCCATGGCCGAGTAGCGTCGCTAGTAGCCGTCGCCGTTCAATCGAACGAGAAAAAGGACATCATTGCAGGACATCATTGTCCTCTTCCTTTGGTGGCTGCTCAGAGCAATGAGTGGCTCCTAGCACTATCTGCAGTGGCAGCCAGTCCAATTGGAGCATGTGTGCTACCACATTGCTCCGCTTGGAGTCATGGCTACAGTGGTTCTAAAGGGGTTCTCCTCCTTCGATGCACCACAGGGGGGGCTGCAGTTCTTTTGTGAGGGGGTCTCTAAGTAGAGTACGTTGGGGGTTAGAGTAGTACTATTAGGTGGATTATCTACTGTATGGAAGCTAGCTAGTAGAGTAGTAGGGAAAGCCGGGAACTTATCAACCATATAACCTGGGTCGCTAATTGCTCTGAGTAATTCCTTATACTCCCGGAATAACCATCTAGCTAGTTCCTTTGGACTTGGAAGGAATGATTACCTCGGCAGTCTATCTGCCTGAGCCCTCTACCCCTTTTTCGGTATTACGTCTCCATGAGATGACGCTCCTTTTGGTTACCCCCTCAGTTGCACTCTGAAATCGATTTGCCGGCGTTTACTGTGTAAAATAGAGTAGCGGCATTTCAGTTGCAGAATCAACGGTCATATGTATCGTTAAGTAACAAGTTCCCTTTCGAAAGATTTAAATCGATTCGTGGATAAACAGAACCATTGAAGTTACTAAGGTTAAGGCTGAACTGAATTACAGAGGATTTGATTCGATTCCATCCAATCGTCCATCAAATCTTTTTTTGAAGGCACAGCGCCGACTTCTCTCCCTCACTGAATTGCTATGGCAAACAGGAGAGAAATCCGAGCTTGGCCGACAAGAGCGGTGTCGAATCGATCGATCAATTGAATGATCGAACGACTGGTACGGTGGTACGGAGGTAAGCATACCTATAATCAAAAGTGTTATTGAAGGTGCAGATTCGAAAGCCATCCACCATTGAATTTCTATGGACCACAGGAAGGCAGTCAGATCTCGGCCGTCAACAGGTGAGTTGTTTTATTTATTCGAGTCGATCAATCGCGCCTCTATTATCTCTGTTATCCAAGCCTCACTCAAGCCGGTTGACTCTGGTACAGAAGCGAAAGTCATCCCTCATTGATGGATCATGGAATGGCAGTCAGTTCTCAGCCACGGATGGCCAAGTTAGTGAAAAACAAGGGTAAGTCTCCGGTTGTCTGCAGTTCAGCACAGAAAACAAAACTCATATCTATTTGTTGTTTTCTCCTCTGCACTGCTGACGGCCGATGAACTACCATTGTTGAGTCCTTTTCGAACCAACGAACGATCGCTACTATGCTACTGCTCCTACAGAGGAAACTGTTAACTCCAGCCCTACCAACAGCATGAACGAACATCGTCGAGTCATTGAAGAGGCAACAGTTAACCGGAGGAGGCTACACGACAACACACAAGAGAGTGGATCCTCCTACCGGATTCATCCCTCCTTGTTATTTCCTAGTATTTTGGTGGTGATTTCTGTGTTCATACCCATTTTCCCGTTGGAACATGGCTTGTGGAGCCTGGATTGACAATATTCCTGTATTCATTGTAATGGTGAGGCAATGGAGCGTAGTGAGCAAAACCGAACCTGAGGGTGTTCGGTACTGTTGCCAGTGTCACCAATTGATGTAACTCTACGGTAACTGGCTACAATGGCTGGATTGACAATATTCGGTTGTGTATGTATTCGTCATAAGGATCCAATGCAAGGTACCGGTAACGGAGTGTAGCCAGTAAAGTGGAACCTGAGTGTGTTCGGTACTGTTGCCAGTGTCACCGATTGATGTAACTCTACGGTAACTGGCTACAATGGCTGGATTGACAATATTCGGTTTTTTATGTATTCGTCATAAGGATCCAATGCAAGTACCGGTAACGGAGTGTAGCCAGTAAAGTGGAACCTGAGTGTGTTCGGTTCTGTTGCCACTGTCACCGATTGATGTAACTCTACGGTAACTGGCTACAATGGCTGGATTGACAATATTCGGTTGCACATGCATGTATTCGTCATAAGGATCCAATGCGAGGTACCGGCAACCATAGCGAGCAAAGCCGAACTTTCGGTACTGTTTGCCACTGTCGTTGATGTAGCTATACCGCAGCCGGCTACAATGGCTGGATTGACAATGTTCGGTTGTGCATGTATTCATCATAAGGATCCAATGCAAGGTATCGGTAACGGAGTGTAGCCAGTAAAGCGGAACCTGAGTGTGTTCGGTACTGTTGCCACTGTCACGGATCGATGTAACTCTCTGCCTACGGTATCGTAGCTGGCTACAATGGCTGGATTGGGATCCAAGTAGCGAGTAAACTGAGGAAACAGGAGACGAACGCTGGGAAAAAAAGCCGAATTTCCTATTTCCTGTTCCGGTGAAGCTAAAATATAGGGATAGAGATGGTGTAAGCCAACAAAACTGGAAATTGAAGGTTCTGCAAATTTAGGGGTAGGAATAAATCATGATTATTCAAGGTTAGTGCACTCAACACAATAAACCAGCAGAAACAGGTACATACGGGAGTGACATCTGTAAAATTATGGTTAGCGGGCGGCAACACACGACGAAGTCGGGTGTTGTCGCTAGGGCTAGCTTATATTAAAAAGAAGGTTATAATGAGGGAATGATACCGGGCGGCAACACACGACGAAGTCGGGTGTTGTCGCCAGAGCTACCTTGAAAGAATGGTGCAATCTCAAACAGATCCTCTTTCTTCTATTTGTCTTTCTGCCAAGGTATCGCAGCTCCCGCTGACTTATTCCCTTGCAGTAACAAGGTAAAGTATAATACATGTACATCTAGTTGCTCCTTGTAGACTGTAGACCAGTAGTGAGTCACAGCTCAGGACTGGACTCAGTCACAATCAGGACTGGTGAGTCTCATTACCTCTCATTCAAGGAAGTGATTGAATCATTCCTTCATTCTGGCAAGCTGAGAAGTAATGAAGAAAAGTAATTAGAAACCAAGAAGGAAATCTTGGCTTAGCTAGGAAAAGAAGATGCGTCGTTCGGGACTAGGTAGGTTGGGTGGTATCAGGGATGACAAAATATAGGCCAACATGAGGGCCAACGGGCTTGGACTTGTGGGATCCACAGAGACATAAATGTGTGGCTTTAAAACAAAGGCAATGCTTATCTGGGAATAGAATATTGAGTTTGTTTGAGTTGCAGTTGGCAAAACATTGCAAAGAATTTTTCTCATAGGGGGGGGCAAGCCATGACATACCGTACACGGAAAGAACCCCCCTTGCGTTGCTAAAACTCCCTGTGAAAGATCCATGCTTCTTTCTTCTGATCGCGTTTTGATCACCAGTTTTATATCTTGTTGTTTGAAAGTGGTAAAGCAGCGAAGAACCAACCTCCTCATTCGGATCAAAGAAGCAATCATCGATCATGTCAGTGAAAGGCTACTTGGTGGTGATCATTGCCCTCATGGCTCTCCATGTAAGCTTGGATGTGTACAAGTACCAACAGGAAATTGAGCTGATTGATCGAAAGGGGGTATCAGCTGCAAAATCCTCGCCTGAACCACGCGATTTACTCATGGCAGTGGGAAGTAGTCGGAGTGCTCGTACCGCTACAGTTGTTGCCGAAGATTCATCCAATACAAAGGGGACTGTCTTAGATATCATCCCGATGCAGTACGACGATGAGCGCAACGAGACAACGGCAACAGGAGCACCGACAAATCTGGCAGACAAATTGACCTTTCCGCCTGCACTAGGCACCAACTTCCAGCTGCGAGTTCCCTACAATTTTTCACACGTTTTCTTTGTGGGTGGTCACTGCAATATCACTGGCGAGGAAGAATGGGTGCAGAATGATTGGTACACAAGATTTGCTGCTGCAGGAATGGAAACTCTGGGAGTGCCACCTGAAAACCAAATCTGCTCCAATGTGAAGAATGATGCTTACACCAGAGATTTTCACGTCGAAGCATTGAGAAAAGTTGAAACTCTCGCGGGGGACGAATTGAATCAAACTCTGGTCATTACTGCCGCCATTCGCTTGGAATCAGACTGGTCACCAGTGGCAGATTTACTGAGGAGAGGAATGGCCTTCTTCCACATGAAGGAGGATCCACAAAACTTTGATCTGCAGGAATTTGGGCTCGACCTTGAGCGTGTCTTATACTTTTACTTCCGATGGGATGAAGCGGGCTCTGCCATAAAGGCAGGACGAGAGCTCTGTCGTCTCAAGAGGGGGGCACATCAGCTCAAGGCGGCCAAGCTATTGACAGGGTGGCGCGGTGAAAAAATTGATTTCCGAGTCGATCTTGCCATTGAAGCATTCAAAGAAAACTGCCCGAATAGTGCAGTAATTGATCTGTGGGCAGTGTACGACAATCAGAGCGATCAAGCTTTGAGGACGACACTAATTTTCAATCCCTTCCCCGATATAATCTTTACAGCACAAGATGCAGTTGCTAGGCGCATTATCGACATTGCACAAGACGCCCTGCCGCCTGATCAATACCGGCGCATTGCTACCACAGGATGGGATAACATCGAAACACAATTACTGGATGAATTCAAGATCTTGACCACAGTTGACCAACAGGTTCATGACCCCCATAAAGGCGTCTGGGGGGTGCTTGAGACTGTTCTTGGAATTGCGCAAAGCACTGGTCTCAATTCTACAGCGTCGGTGCAAAGAGAACTGGACCTTGGAAACAGTCTGACTATCACAGCCGACACTTTGTTTATCCCTGCACACCGCGTGGGGTATCTGCAAAATTTGGTCCTGGAGGGGTACAATCCTAACTTCTCGCCCTTCACAAGCAACCCAGTGTCCAGCGGAATTCTGAACACAACAATTGCAATGATGGACCCATTTGAGGGCAAGTTTGAGGCCATTTTTGTGCTCCACACATCCTGGTACGACCCCCGACTTGAGTGGAATCGTGATGTTTATGGTGGATTTCTCGCACTGGATAAAGCATCCATTTGGACTCCAAGTGGGATTTACTTTCAGAATGAGATTGGTTTTGATTCTTCCCAGATTCTGCATGAATCTCTAGCAATGGTGTCAAATGATGGCAAAGTACGATTGGAAACGACTATGCATGCCATGTTTCTTTGCCGAACCATGGAGGAGATAAGACGGTATCCTTTTGAGCACTACCATTGCTCCATGAACTTGGCAGGTTCCATGCAACTCACCCTGGATGATACCATTGGATTTGATGTGGTACAAAGCGACCCACATTTTGAAACAACAATTTCAACTATGATGTCAAGTAACCAACAGAGTGCAAGTGGAATTGTGTACTACAAGCTCGCATTCCAGCGCCGTCCTTTTGGTGTGTATGTGGGTGTTGTTCTCCCTGGCATTGTCATCAACATGATTGGATTCATGGCCTTCTGGATTCCAGGAGTCGAACAATCTGTGGCCTTGGGTATTGCTGCCCTCCTCTGTGCATTGACCTACCGTACAGCCCTGGATATTCCTGATGTGGCATCAGCGACCTGGGTTGAGGTCTTCATGATGATCAACATCAGCTACCTGGGGTCAGTAATGGTAATCATTTGGTGCTCCTTTGGCAGCAGTGCCATTCTGGGCAAGTACATCAACAAGTGCTGTAAACCAATCCACCCCAAGAATGTGGCGAAAGAAGCCAAGTCTCTTGCAAAATCAATGTCGCGAACGCACAGTGACGAGAAAACCCGAGTGGTAGAGAGGGTTGTGGAGACGCCAAACGATACGAAACAAGCAACCATAGGTTCTCAAAGCATGCAACGACAAGGAGAATTGCACAGAAATGGTAATAAGGCACAGGAGCTTTCGGCGCTGTCAGCACATTCAGCAGACAGAATTTATGATTCAGACTCTCATCACAAGTGGAACAAAGCCAGCGCAGCACTTCACCATCCAGAAGATCCTGCCGATAGCGATTTGGAGTCTGATGGGCCTCCAAGAGATGACCACAACCAGCAAGCATCAGGGATCGAGATGAACAATGGATATCGCACCAAGTTGAAGCGATTTGTCAGTGAGAGAGTCCTGGGCAAAGGTGAGGGAACGGATCAAAACGGGAAAAGTGCAAATCTGGACTGGATTGGGCGCTGGTTCATTGTTCCCAGCTACATTATTGTTGTGAGTTCGCTGCTGATTCATGGCTGGGGGTTCAAGTAGTACCACGGTAACTATTATTTGTGGGATCAGATTGCGCTATGCATACAGCTTGAAACTGCATATTGTATATCCATAGCCTGAACGCTGCATGGTAGCGATGCAGCCGAAACAGGAAGATTCTCTCCAGGTTGTCGTTGGATTTCGAGTGGGCGATGGCTTCGTGACAAAAATGCTTTTGCATCACTCGGGTTGGTGAAAACCTCTCAGCGATTCTGAGGGTGGGTGTGTCAGTCATAATATTTGAATTCGAATCTCGTCCTGTGAGTGGCTTGGCGGCAAGAGCTGGCTGGTTTGAAGAAGCAATCTCCAGGAGCGGCCGCTCCCCACCGGAATGTACCATAGCGGGCAGCTACCATACTAGAGCCAGGCAGCTTTTAGTACGGTAGGAGTCTGGGAACAGCAGCCGCGGACACCATTCGTGCCAATACAGTTTCAACAGGATGTCGGCAGTTACCGGTATGTCGAACAGCAGTATCATAGAATCTGAAATGTGCAAAGCCGAAGCCAAACAGTTTTTGGCATAATAAGTTGCACTTTAAGAGTTCTCCTGGAGGCCTTCGTTAGGAACAGCAAAAGCGCGTGCACTTGCTCCTGCTTTGCCCTTTTCAATTCTGCCAAAGCGCAAGGAAGCAACTTTCTTAACGAATATAGTGCCCTGAGGTGGCTTAATTGATGGGAGTCTTTTTTCGGTTGCAGCTTCCACAGTAGCAAGCTCCAAAACCATAGGACATGGTCGCCTTCCGGCTAGCTAGCTAGTACTCTAATCGAGACAAGCCTCGAAGGACTTCAAATCCATGATGCCGATGCAGAATTGGTTCCAATCCAAGGGTGCCGACGGCAGGGAGCAGGCCGTGGTTCCAACCGCAAGCAGCGACGGAGAGGTGGTAGGAGAGGATGAAAGAAGAGGTCGAAAGCACTTTGGTTGGAAGGTCATTAGCATTGCTAGTAACCTCCGGCGGGGTAAGAACAAATGCTGCTTGAGCTACAACACGAATCCAGAGAGCAGCAATTCTTCGAACCCCAGTCCTCCGAATGAGGAGAGCTCTCCAGAAAACGACCCGGCAGAACACGAAGCTGACACCGTGGTTATTGGCAACCTTGTAATAGATGGGACGAAAAGCAGCATAGAGAGCCTGCTCGACAGCAACGGTATCAGCAAAAGCTGAAGCAAGAAGAAGAAGAAAAGAAGCGAGAAGCAGAGGCCGAAGCGTCCTTTCTATAAGTAGTGGAGGCAGCCATGGAGAACGCCAAGTTAACCCGGGAGTTCATGAGGAGATACAATAACCATGATCTACCAGGTGCCCGTGCAATGCTGACCGACGACTACTTTACTGTCTTTCGGGATCACGAAATGACATGGGACGACCTGAAGAGCGAAACACAAAAGATCTCTGATGCCTTTCCCGACTACAAGTTTCTCTTTGAACGACTCGAGGCACGCAGCGATGGCGTTGTCATCCTGCATAACTTTGTCCCTTCCGGGACGCACACTGGGACACCCTATGGTTTTGGACCCTGTCCCGAGATTCCACCCACTGGAGTCCACGTGCAAAATGATCCCGAGGAGGTAATACACTTTTACTTTCGCAATGGAAAGATATGTCAAAATGCCGTCTACACCGATGGAGAGTTTGTGGGACCTGTAGGCATTTATACTCAGATTGGTACGTGGCTGTGTTCTGCTTTGTGGCGTATTGCTTCAATCCTCTGGCGGAGGCCCACCACTAAACTCACTCAACGCTTGCATGTGTCATGCACACCGACACACCGCTTCTTCTGCATGGTTTACGAATTGCAGGTGGATTCCCGTTTGCATAGTAGTTTGAGTACAACTAACTTGAAGGTAGCGCTCAGCAGTTGAGGGGAAAAGAAATGCTTAGAAGTGGATTAGACGGTTTCTCCTCCGTATGACATTGTTTGCATGGAGCGCGGATGGTAATTAGATAAACTCATAGCAGTTACCTCCCACCCGCGGAGGAAATTCTTTGCCGTCGTTTGCATAGAGAATGCCTTCACATCCAGGTTCCGCTTCGTTTTCGGTGGCGTCGGTGTCAGATTAGATATTGTACATGTAGCAGTCAGGAGTCAGGAGTGGACGAACTTCAGGAAAAACAATGGCTAATTTTAAATACACTAACACAACTATGGAAAGTTATCCCCCGGGCAAAAAGCAGCACAATGTACTTTTGCTGAAACATGTGGGGATGAACGAGATTGGGATTCAGACTCGAGCTGAGTCTGCCGCAAGTGCGTCTGCAGTTTCGGAGTTTTGAGACAGAGCCAATATCCAATTTTGCAAAAGCGGGCAGCCAAGGAGAGAAGAAGCTCAAACACGTTGTCGCACTCACCATTAAAAGATCGTGGTTGCTTAAAAGCTGGGATACACGTTGTTGCGCCTCGCCTCCATTGGCATAGGCGCACCGACTGTAGATTTCAAAGACATAATATATATTGTATCTCCGGATGGGCAGGTGGGAGAGGAGCAGTTTCAAGCAACGATCACATGCTTGGAACCAGCGTACTGTATGTAGCCAATCATCGCAACTAAATTATGACTGTGGGCCGTTGGCTGTTCCTCCTGGCAAAAGAGTCTGTTTTGAAGCTTGTTGGTCAGGCACAATCACTGTTAGCATTCCACTTTCCCAAGACCCTTCGGTGCGATCGGATGGGACGATGTGCGACGGTGCGGTCGTGGTTGGGAGATCGACGAAAGATTGTATCCACGACTGCGTTCAGCCACTTCTTCGACAGTGATGAAGCCATTGAAATTTCTCGTTGGTGGGGCGGTCAACGGATGCGACGGCTGGAGCTACCGGTACCGTCCGCCGTGGTTTCTGGTTTGCCATGGTGTCGGACTTGGTTATCCGAATGATCCGTATTCTTCTGTTAGACTACCTTGAGGTGCATCCATGAGATTGCTCCTCCATCTCGGCGCCTCTTCCAGCTCCGTGACATGCCTCTTCAATCTGAACGATTTTGCTTGGCTATAACTCCTGAAGCGATCGTTTCTATTGATCTTCAGATGAAGACTATTTTCATGTCGAAGATTCTTGTGTGGCCGATTCCTCCACGGCAAGTATCATCAATATGTCCATGATCGATGGCAACTCAGGCTGACGGGTCGAGCGAGTTCCTTACGCTGTTGTGACCATACCGGCTCGGCACCGATAGGTTTCCAGCAAGTGATGTTGCCTTGATCGGCTGCAATCCCTAGGACTTGTTGGAAGCCATGACAGTATCTTATTTCAACTTGGCGGCACATCCAGCCAACAATTCACCGTCGCGTACCTTCGCCGATGAACCATTTTCATTTTGAAATTTGGTACAGTACCCAGAAGAAACGATTCGATCCATTTTGAAAATTGCAAAACCATGATGAGCCCAATTCCAAACCCTTCCATTGGCTGCGACTGATTGATTCCTTCTAATCAAGCGTTTCGTATTTTTAAGTTCAAAACCTATCGCTGAAACGAAACAAGAAGGAGCAACATCAATCGAGGAGCCAATCACATCCGATTGATGCAGGCCCAGTTTGATTTTAAAATTTAAAAAAGAAACCAAGACGAGAAGTTACCCACTTACTTCATCTGCACAACAAAACATTCGAACACAACTTCTTCGCACAACATCTTCGAAACAACTTCTTAGACACAACTTCTTATACTTATTCTACGACAATTCATGACGCCAGACGCCACTGCTGCAGACAACGATGCCTACCAGATCATTCCGCTTGTATCAATACAGGACCCAGTCGTTTCCAGGAAGCCAAATTCATCGTCCACCATGGCGACGGCCTCCCAATCCAATACCTCCGAACGACAATCAGCCTCATCCAAAACCTCCTCCGAATGCCAAGCAACAAGCGTCACAGGTCCTCCTCTCCTTCACTCCCACCAAAGGCCACAGGTCCTCTCTCCTTCATCCACAAAGGACCAGCCGTTGCCAGCAAGCCAAATTTATCATCCACCATGGCGGCGCCCGACAAGAATGCATCAGGACACAGTCGAACACTCCTTCCATGTGCGTTGGGTTGGAGTGTTGGTGGTTGTTCCCGTGTTGTCATGCCAGAGCCAGAGACCGCAGCTCATCCTCTTTCTTTGAATTGAGCAGAGCAATGTTCGGTCGTTTGATGGTGCCCCGTGCTGCTAGCTGTTGGGTTGGAGTGGTGGTGGTTCCTTCCCGTGATGTCATGCCAGAGCCAGAGACCGCAGCCTCATCCTCTTTTCTTTGAATTGAGCAGAGCAATGTTCGGTCGTTTGATGGTGCCCCTGTGCTGCTAGCTTGGGTTGGAGTGGTGGTGGTTCCTTCCCGTGATGTCATGCCAGAGCCAGAGACCGCAGCCTCATCCTCTTTTCTTTGAATTGAGCAGAGCAATGTTTGTCGTTTGATGGTGCCCCTGTGCTGCCTAGCTGTTGGGTTGGAGTGGTGGCGGTTCCTTCCCGTGATGTCTTGCCAGAACCAGAGACTGCAGCCTCATCCTCTTTTCTTTGATGGTGCCCCTGGTGCTGCTAGCTGTTGGGTTGGAGTGGTGGTGGTTCCTTCCCGTGATGTCATGCCAGAGCCAGAGACCGCAGCCTCATCCTCTTTCTTTGAATTGAGCAAGCAATGTTCGGTTGTTTGATGGTGCCCCTGGTGCTGGCTAGCTGTTGGGTTGAAGTGTTGGTGGTTGGTTCCCGTGATGTCATGCCAGAGCCAGAGACCGCAGCCTCATCCTCTTTCTTTGAATTGAGCAGAGCAATGTTCGGTCGTTTGATGGTGCCCCTGGTGCTGCCTAGCTGTTGGGTTGGAGTGTGGTGGTTCCTTCCCGTGATGTCATGCCAGAACCAGAGACCGCAGGCTCATCCTCTTTTCTTTGATGGTGCCCCTGGTGCTGCTAGCTGTTGGGTTGGAGTGGTGGTGGTTCCTTCCCGTGATGTCATGCCAGAACCAGAGACCGCAGGCTCATCCTCTTTTCTTTGATGGTGCCCCTGGTGCTGCTAGCTGTTGGGTTGGAGTGGTGGTGGTTCCTTCCCGTGATGTCATGCCAGAGCCAGAGACCGCAGCCTCATCCTCTTTTCTTTGAATTGAGCAGAGCAATGTTGGTGTTTGATGGTGCCCCTGGTGCTGCCTAGCTGTTGGGTTGGAGTGGTGGTGGTTCCTTCCCGTGATGTCTTGCCAGAACCAGAGACTGCAGCCTCATCCTCTTTTTCTTTGATGGTGCCCCTGTGCTGCTAGCTGTTGGGTTGGAGTGGTGGTGGTTCCTTCCCGTGATGTCATGCCAGAGCCAGAGACCGCAGCCTCATCCTCTTTCTTTGAATTGAGCAGAGAAATGTTCGGTTGTTTGATGGTGCCCCTGGTGCTGCCTAGCTGTTGGGTTGGAGTGGTGGTGGTTCCTTCCGGTGATGTGATGCCAGAACCAGAGACCGCAGCCTCATCCTCTTTTCTTTGAATTGAGCAGAGCAATGTTCGGTCTTTTGATGGTGCCCCTGTGCTGCTCACTTTGTTTGGAGTAAACGTTGGGGCTGAAATGATGTTGGTTGTAATTTGAGTCGATTCCGTACCAGCTTCTTGTTTTGTCTGCTTGCTCATCTAGGAACTTTGGCGCAACTCCATAAGATTCTCCCACGTTTTCGCAACCTGGTCATATCCTGCACCCCTCTAAAAGTACTCCCAAGTTCAGTTTCTGCTACGTCGCGTCCAGGGAGATCTCTTGCTGGTTCCATCGGATAAATAGCTCAAGTTTACAGTGTTTTCGTATTACATCTGCCAAAAGCCGGTGGTCCATGCAGGATGCTATCGCTTGTACGGTTGTCTCTATGGTTTCTGCCTGATTTTTGCTTTTCCAGGAGCCGCGTTCTGAGCGAGACGCCAATCAGTTAGTTGTTCTGTCTTTTAAAACTTCTGATGTGGATCTGCAGCTGTAGGTGTAAGATCCTGATGGCTCATTCCTCCAAAAGACCAACGCTGCTCTCTGGTTCCTCTAGAGGTCGCCGCTGGTCGCGTGGTGGCCGTGCGACGCATTCTTGATCGCTGTCTATCCTCCTTCGGAAGAGAAGAGCCAAGCTTACACAAGTCTAGCTAGTTAGTAGTTCCTCCGACCAGGAGAAGAGACCCCGTTCGTAAATGTTATGTAGTTTCTTGCTATCATCTTCTAGCCAGAGCTCCAAGGTGGGCAGATGAGCGAGGAGAGCCGTCATTCCTCTGGAGCGCCAAAAATCTTCGGGCTGGGCGCGGGAGTCGATTCGATTCCATTCTTGTGAAATTTTCTCGGAACAACCGTTGGGTCAAGGATGCTCTCATTATGATCTTTGCGTCTCTGCATGTTTCTAATCGCGACAATGGCTTCTGGTTGAGATGGCGTATCCTTCTGCTACATCAGCCGCAGCTACAACGCGTGCTATTTTCTCCAAACAGGAATCCGATGAAGCAAGGATCGGTAGAACTCAAGATGCGCAACTGGACACCAACACTCTCGACCTCTTTTTTGCCGACGAAAATGACAGTGATTTCCTTTCTCTCGGAGGCCAACACTACGATTATCACGGGATGTCTCTAGAAGGTGCGAATGGGGTTCCAACGGATCGCGGTCATGGTATCCGACAAGCCTATTCTGCATCCCCCATCATGACGGCCTGGTCATGGTTGGATTCCATAGCACCAACTCCAAAGGGTATGGGCTCATCGGGCGCTGACCTTTCCCTATCAAAAACAGATAGCAGCAAGCTTGCCCCAAAGAAAAAGCGAGATTTCAAGGTCAAAGTCAGCATAACCAACAAGGAGGGAGACTCGACGGAACATGCTGTCATCAAGACACGTCGGGAAAAGAAAACTGCACCTACTAGTAGTTCCAGCACCTCGACGGAATACCGGTACAATGCAAACTCTACATCGTCTAGTAGTTATCCGACAACTTCAAGCGATACTGCATCGGGGGTTGAAAATTTTGAGATGGTGCTCAAAGAGCCAACAAGACAATACACTGCAGCTCAAACCACCAAGCCAACACTGCGCGAAATTGACACGGAACAATCTGAGGACAGCGCATGGTCCCGTGACCGGTTTTCTGGATTGAGATTACAACAAACACACCATCATATCGACAGCCCTTTTTTTGGTCGGTCTTCTAGTGTTGTAAAGACCTTGGCAAAAGGGCTTCGTCAGACCGGTTCACTGTTGGACACAGGGGAGGAAGAGGTTCCGTCCTCGAGCGCGTGTAGCGCAAATCTTGATACCGGGAGCTCGCTAGGTATTCGTGGTGAACAGCAAGGAACGCCTGAAAAGACAGCCTCGTATGGTTACGACTCGAGTCTCATGTTCGCATCCTTCTTCAGTCTCTCATCCATGGATGACGACACCAATAAGGAGAATTGTACTTCGTACAATGCACAGCAACAAAGTGCCTTCATCCCCACAAGTTGGACGCCTGAACAAAAAACAACAACACTACAACCAAAAGAGCCACACAATCATCAGATTGACACGCAGGAACAGGAACAGGGCTGTTACTTTCCGCCGCCGTACGAAAAATCGTCCCCTTTTCAAATCTTCAAGTTCAAGCCCTTCCTAGCTCATCCTTCGACAGCGTGGCAATCCTTGTCTTGGGGCCAATCCTCTTGTGCCGGCAGTAGTTACACATGGGCTACAACTCTCAAAAAGAATGGTGAATTCACCTGCTGCGAGACTTCTGACGACCAAGAAGTCCCGAGCAATTTTCAAGATGAGCCACCAGAGGCTTCCAGCACATCCAGCGGCAGTCTGAGTATGCGGACCTGGGGAAAATTGGACTCTTACAGAGCCTTTCGATTGGGGGGAAACGTGTTCCATATCCGGGAAGTACTAGCCAAGCAGCAGGCGCGACGGTTTGCACGAAGGATCGTGCTGACTTTGATGTTCATTGCCGTCACTGTTGTCATCGTAGTGTTGAGCATATTCTTGAAACGAGCAAACGAGAGAGATGACGAGTCAACGACGTCAATACAGAAAATATAAGTGCAAGCCAAGGGCCGTCAAATTCGCCAACGGCCGAGCCAGTTTGACTTCATTGGGATACCGTTACATGCATCGGAAGTAGCTCGGAGCACCGGTCGTTGCAGGCAACCTGTGGTAGGAATGCTGCGACGCCGATGGTCTTTTGGCAGACGGAAGTCACCGAGCATCCAGATTTCAATTTTTTGGGTAGAATCATAAAGTAGATGGGTCGCGAAACAGTACCGTATTGTAGATGGGTTGTCCGAGCTCACTTGATACTGCTGGCGATACGTGACCTCTGTACCGCGGCTTTCTCTGTACTATCTGCATGTGCCAATGCTCCCATTATCTGATGCCACCGAAAGCTGTCTCCGTGGGTTCTCTCGAGCTGAATTGGATCGCAGATCTTGTGATGGCCGTACATTGCCACTCTCCCGTGCTTTCTGGGGTGCTCAACCATGCAACCGCATCCCATAAACTCGCACCGGTGGTGGCTTTTCTCCTGGATTGAGTATATCCGCACACCCCAAGCATACAGTAGGGTTTGGCACATTTTCAAAAGGCAAGCTGAGAATCGCATTCCTCTGCAAATTTGGTTTCACTTCTCTCAAACACTGCTCCCGAACACTTCTCCTGAACACTTCCATGCATAGGTACGTACGTCAGGTTCATTGCTATAGGTGGTGCAATTCTTGGGTGGGGGATGGGCGAAGATGGCGTAGTGCAGCCTGTTGAACTAGCTAGCTAGCTAGTAATAGTACTAGCTAGCTAGCTAGAGTAGATCTAAAACACAAAACGTACTGCGCAGAATATCTCCGGGAACCAGGTGACGTTTCCGGACTTCAACATACGCTCCCATATATTCAAAACGTCACTTTGCCGCTCAAAGCCTGTTGTTGCCCAAAGCTCCTCCTGTTGTCGCAGATCCTCTACTAACCAAATGAGCAACTGCTAGCTAGCAGACCATGAACAAAGAAACTGATCCATCGAAACCAGTTGCTGGCTTGAACACCACCGCCAGCTCTAGCTCTGGGAACAACGGCACAGTTGATCCTGCCACTTTGGACCCTCCCACTACAACTTATTTGGACCGTACTATGCAAGGAATGGCCGAAGAAAGAGCGGCCAAAGAAGCGTCCAGAGCCAGCATGGACCGTTCTACTGGTACTGGTACTACTGGTATAGTGGCTAGCGGCATTCCTGGAGCTGTCTTGGAGATTAGTCAAAAGAGACAAAAGGAGGCCAAACAAGCTACTACAGATGGACTGGTGGATATCACGGATGCCAGGAAGCCACCAGCAACTGCCAGACATGGACTAAAGAGATCTGTGGAAGAAAAGGCTGCTAAGGTAAAAAGCTCTTTGGAAACCGAGGAATCTGATGTCCTTCAGGTTGTGCACGCACGCTCCCCAGGAGATGCCAGACGAGAGGTGGAGCTCCAAAAGCTGGAGCAGTATGAGCAGAACCAGAGGGTCCAACAACAAGCTGTAGCTGTTGAACAAGAGAAAGCACACCAGCAACCTAGGATAGGTCGGCAAACAGATTCTATACACAGCCGGGTTCAGATAAGGACAAACAGAAGTGCCACCAATAAGAGCAGCACGAGTAATGGGCCAACCAATGAAGACAATGGAGAGTCTCTGAGTATTGATGAAATTGCCAAACTAGCCGAATCCCAACAGAGAGCCCAGCCTTCAGCATCCGCGTCGTTTTTTTGCCCCAAAACCATCAGTGAGAATCCTGGCAGTAGCACTACAACAGCTACCAGTACACCATCCAACATCCAAAATAATGGAAGGCAACAGATTCCACTTCCTGCAGGGGCACAGCCAGGAGCATACTCGGGAGCTCCTGGTATGGACCTTCAAAGGGCTAACAGACCTTGCTTTTCATTACTTGGGGTTGCTTCCACTGCAGTGGAACCAATGGCCGACCTAAGTGCCCATGATGGATGCCTGACATCCATCAATGCGGACAGGGAAGAAGCTGAGCCCGAAATAAATAATTATGCCAACAGTGACAGCAATGGCTTGGCTGTGGCAGCGCTGGTGGAAGAGGATGAGATGCCCCAAGATTTGCCACGAGCTGCAGAGTTTGATGTGGATGAATTGCGAAGGAGAAAGGAAGAATCCACGAACGGATTCAAAACCAAGATTTACATCATCGTTGGCTTGCTTGTGGTTTTTGGAATCATTGTGGCAGGAGTCTGTGGCAGCGGCCACTGCAGCAGTAAGGAAGAACTCAGTCCCAGAGATATGGAAGGCATCGAAATTAAAGCCCAGTTGGAAAAAGTGTTAGGTCATATTTATTTTGATGGTTCCACAGACAACACAGAACCTCATCAAAAAGCACTCAAGTGGATCATCCATCAAGATCCCCGCCAATTGCCTCCAGATTCCAACCATCTACTCCAACGTTTTGTTTTGACACAGTTTTACTTCAGTACATCGCAAGCCAGCCCTTGGAAGTTCTGTGGCGCTGCCAGTGGTGCACAAACAGACGTGTGCCAAGAAAGGCATTTAAGCAACCAATTTTTTTCTGAGCGATGGTTGTCGGGAGTTCCTGAATGCCGGTGGGCTGGATGCAGTTGTGAGGGAGAAAATATTACTGAAGTTGATATCTGTGAGTATCAACAATGCACAAATTGTGCTTTTTGCGAAGATTCCAATGATCTCACCAAAATTCGGCTGCATCTGCTGCCAATGCATGGATTGCTTTGCATACAGGGGACAATAGCTTCACAGGGTCACTTCCAAGTGAACTAGGCTTGTTGTCCCATGCAATAAGCTTGTCTTTTCGATTCCAAGACTTTACTGGCACTATACCCACAGAAATGTACCAATTGAAAGCTCTTACCAATTTGGATCTTTCGGAAAACAGTTTTACAGGAACCATCAATCCTGCAGTCTTCTCCATGCCATCGTTGGGCGTACTCCATTTTTGGGGCAACCACATGACAGGCACCATCCCAACTGAAGTTGGGCTCTTTCAAGGTATGTGTAAAATACTTTTCTTGACAATGTCTCTTGACCCGGATTCATTGCTTATCATTGGAACCTGTTGCCCTTTTCATTTCAAAGGAGAGGTGCTCTTCATGCACACAAATTCTTTTACAGGAACGATACCTTCCGAATTGTTTTCCGCCAACAAGGTCAGGTTTTTTTATTTTGGAGATAATAAGGTAGGTTGGCCGTTCTGTTGTTTCCAACCTCCAATATCTTGACTATGTCCTCATGTGCCATTGGTTGGCTAGCTCTCCGGAACCATTCCCACAGAAGTTGGACTTTTATCCCAGCAAGTCCATCTTGACACGAACGCAGACTTTCAACCTGATAGCGGTCCTTCATTTGGTTTTGCCCGCAATAATGCATTGTCTGGGACAATTCCATCAGAGTTTGGGCTGGTGGACAAGCTATCTGAATTCAATATTGGAGATACACGCATTGGAGGCACCATTCCTGAAGAGCTAATCTTGAACTGCCTCAATTTGTGGTTCCTCCGTGTAGAAAACTGCAACTTGGGGGGTACATTGAGCACCAACTTGGGATTACTCACAAATCTCAGATTTTTATTGTTGGCGAACAACAACTTTTCAGGTAGCATCCCCGTGGAGCTTGAAGCGCTGACATTGTTAGAAGACTTTACAATCAATGGAAATCCTGAACTCAGAGGGGGCATTCCTGATGGCATGTGCTTTGAGAGCTCTTTTAGTGCTCAAGGACTCGAGTTTGTAGCCGACTGCGCGCCTACCACGATCACAGCAAGTGACGGGACAACCAGCACGGGAGAACCACTTGTGTCTTGTCCTGAAGGATGTTGCAGTGCATGCTGTGATGGGGGGACTGGAATCTGCACGGAAGAAAAGCCCTCTTGATTTTCGATGTGATGCCAGCCACAATCACTCCTCTCCGGTGGATTTGTGCCTGCTAGATATCTGAAAAGTGGAAGCGTCAAGCCAAGGGACCAAGGAGGTATACTGGTTGCATCATTTGCTGGGCATCTCTAGTCTCTTCTAGAAAGCAATAGACTTGCTATGTCTTCTACATTACCATGATATTGCCTTCCCCATACAATCTAGTAGACAATCTGTAGTAGGTAGCTGTATTGAACGGGGCAGTCTATCTATCAATCAATCTTCAACCATCGTGTATAATACATTCAGAAACAACGGACGAAGCTCTACACTTTGGTGGTGGAATCATCATCATCTGGCAGCGCCTGTTGCAACTGTGATGCCTCTTCTTCTTGTTCCGACGCCGCTCCCACTTCATCCAACCATCCAATGAAGAAGAGTGGATACAAGGATGACAGATTGCAAATGATAGTCAATAACCCGAGATTGTCAAAATTGGATTCGGTCACTCCCAATGCCTTGGTCAGCAACGCCCCGACTTCGGTTCCGACCGTCCCGGCCCCATTATAAATACTCATGAGTGTGGCAAACAAGACGGCTTCGACGCCCGGTGGACACAATCGCGCCGCCAATACCAACGTGGGCAAAAATGCAAATTCTCCCAGCACGGCCAAAGCGACATCATCGCCAAAGACAAATGCCGCATCGGGAATGCCCAATTCTCGATTGGCATGGGTAATGAGTAAGAGGGATGACAATCCGAGCGGTGTGGCGACAATAGAAGACCAAAAGAGAATATCTTTAATCGGTACCGTTTTGAGGAATCGATTGTACAACCAAACCCCGACCAAACTGGCACCGGCCGTAACGAGTCGAACGCGTCCCAAGAATTCGGGTCCAAATCCGAGTTCATCCGTCATGAAAAACAAAAAGGCTCCGTCGGATGTGGGCGTGGATTGCCAAAGGAATAAAAATAGGGTGGGTTTCCAAATACTGGGTTGTCGAATGGCGTCCCAAAGAGCCTGGATTTGTCCCTTGACGCCGTCGTCGTCGGTAGTAGCTACGAGTGCCGTTGCAGAATCTCCATTGCTGATTGTCAAATCTCCATTGGTGGTAGTGCTTGTTGTCAAACTGTCCTCACTGCCATTCGTAGTCAGTATTTCGTTATTCACCATCTCCACCACAATTTCATCATCCTTTGGTTGTTGCTGTCTTTCTTCTTGAATCAACAAGGAAATGCACGCCACCAGAAATGGAAGAATGGCCGTTATTTGAAAGACATCTTGTGGTTTCATGACTTGCAACAAAGATCCCGAATAGTACGCCGACAACAATCCTCCAAAAGCGGCACTGCTCCAACACAGACTCTGTAATCCTCCCGCCAATGCCGGATCGTCCGAGTCGCGTGTTTTTTGAACCACAATCCCATCGGCCACGACATCGGAAAAGGCAATACAGCCACTACTAATCATGAGCGACGCAACTGTGGCGGGAATCATTTGTTCGGGTGCCAACAATCCTCCAAAATCGTGTCCCAACGCCGTGTACGAGGCACATCCCAGTAATCCTGCCACGACGAGATAGGATCGTCGCTTGTAGCCAAACAGGGGAAATCCGTCACTGAGAAATCCATACAACGGCTTAATGGTCCACGGCAGGACAAAGAGACCGGTCAAGGCAGACAATTCAGCCGGTCCCAAGTGAAGTTCATCCTTGAGCAAAAAGGTTTGGGCCAATCGAGCCAATCCAAGGGCGCCTTCGACAAAGTAAATAGTGGCAATCGCCACTATATCCGGTGTAGGAGCAATGCCCAAAAAGACTGTATTTTGCAAAAAGAAAGACAGTGGATTGTCATCATTGTCATTGGATGATACATCGTCTTCTGATGCATCCTGTGGCGCGACCAGTTCTGCATTATCTGGATCAGTTGGCAGAGAAGACTCGGTAGAGGTAATCTCATCATCTTTCACTGTGGAAAATAGCAGCAGCGGTTGCCTTTGTATCCTTCGTGTGATAATCGGACTGGCGGATGGTCTCTGTCTATTACCCGTACTACCAGTACTAGTAGAGCAAGCCCTTAGTGCAGGAGTGTGAGAGGAGAAGCCATGGCTGGGAACAATCACTAGCAGATGCAGCAGCAGCGAGAATAGTTTCCTCATGGGTAGCATCTTCATCTTTCTCTAGACAAGCTCTCAAGGTAGATATTGGGTCTAACCTTTGCTGTCCACAGGTTAGCTCAAGCGATATAGACTACTGTGATGCCTTACTTGAGGAGGCTCTCAAGTAGTTGCAGATGACTGAGTCAACATCAGCAGCTATTGTAGCAAAGACAGATCCATGCTGTCCTTCATGAGCAGAGCTCGCATCATCATTGGCGGCGCTTGAAAGAACAGAACAACAACGGCGAAAGTTCTGTGGCACGACTGACGTCAGTCAAAACTTGTGCGACTAAGTACTAGCTAGTCTAAGTAGCAAATCACGGTGCATTTCCATGAACACCGCGTTTACCGTCACAACCTTTGTGTGTTGGTGGTACAGACCGAGACGAGCTTGCCACGGCATGCGTGAAAGCAAGATGCAAACAGACGAGCGATGCCCATGATGGCAATTTCGCACAACAACCCGTACATCTTTCTCTTACCTGTCCTTTAGTTTCCCCCTTTGGCCACAGCCCTTTGTCAGGGTCAACCAACCCCGATGCTTGTGAAATCACCGCCTTGGCTAGGACGTGGACAAATAAATGCCCGTCTCTTTGTAGCTCGGAATAGTCAGCATTTCTGTCTTCGTACCTTTTGCCCCCACGGAGGCCACACACAAACGAGAGAATGGTAGCAATGCAATCCGCGCGTTTTTTTTTAAGCATAAACTTTGACCTTCGTTGAATTGCTGAAGCACTTTTTCGGGCCCACATGGGAGGCGTAAGGTGATTTCTCCCTCAATCCCGTGAACTCCACTTGAACCAATGTCCTCGACGGCAATCAAGAAGAGGAGTGACAGCCATTGAGATGAGGATTGAATGACGAGGCAGCTGTATGCCAAGGCTTACAAAGGTGCTAATAAGGAGGTAAGCTAACTTCTTCACCAAAACTTGTGACAGTTGTAATCCATGCGATCGGAATAATCCAAGTCGCTTTGCCTAGCCCACCTAGCCACATGCATGCATCTTCAGGAGCGACGTCAAAGATCGCCACTTCGGTTTTCTTTTTGATGCTATCTACTATGGTCTCCCCCATACATACTATTGCGATGACGACCGAGCAGGAGCAGCCTTGTGTCGTTTTACAAGCAAGACGATGGGTCCAGGGGAAACTGCAATGTCAATCTAGCCTTTGGTGGTGTCTTTTGGGAGGAAGGAGTGTTGACTATGACCCTCGAGGCACAATATATATGGTCGTCATTCGCCTTGCCAGTGGCTCCATGGTGCTGTGTGGGACGAGAGGAACATAGGATACCGAACTTGCCTTTAGAAGGCTTGACTTCTTCGAGACGTTCAGCGTACCTGGTACAGTACGGTCTTTGGCCTTTGGCCTGTGCCCGGCCTGGATTGGATTTGGAGGGTGGGTCTCTTACTTGAACCCTTTGAATTAAGCCCCTGTTCTCTTCGATCTTCGACATCTCGTCGGGCTTTGTTTGCATGTTTGCATCAGGGTTCGCTAACCTGATATATTAGGTTACCGGTTACTTGCGAAAGAACCGGTAACCGGAACCGGATATAGTAACCTTTACACTAACCTGGTAAAAAATTTCTACCAGGTTAGTAACCGACACACTAACCTAATACGATCTTGTATCCGGTTCGTGTACCGGTTAGTGTCCGGTTAGTCTATCCGGTTACTCGTCGCCGTTTCATTCCTCTCTTTGCTCATAAATTCTCCAGGAGAAACCTGATAAGGGAAACCTATGCCGAAATTCGAGCTCTACTAGGTTACTACACCAGGTTAGTGTACCGTACCAGTGTACCGGTTACCGGTTACTTATCCGGTTACCGGTTACTCTATCCGGTTACTCGTCGTCACTCACCTGGTTCCTACCTTGTTTATTTCCTCTTTAGGTTGCCAGTTACCAGTTACCATGGCCAGTACTACTGATAAGGTTGCTACTGATAAGGTTGCTACTGATAAGGTTGTTGCTACTGAGGAGATTGTCGAATTCATTTCAGGTGACATCCTCTCTGAAGATGGGCGGGAGGATTTTGTCCAGCTGGAGGCGCAGATGCGTAAAGGGATGGAACATGGCAACGGTGTAACCGACAATGATGTTGCCGACGGTGGTGTGGATGAAGAACAAGAACAAGAACAAGAACAAGAACAAGAACAAGCCGTTGCCGTTGCCCGTGGTAATGACGACATGCAAATTGATGACCTGGATGACGAGTCTGATGGGCAAGAGGGGGATCTCCGCATTGAGTACGCCAAAGCCAAGGGTCTGTTCAAGTT